GAGGAAACAATAGAGGAAACAACAAGCAAATAACTGAGTAATGAGAAATGGCAAAACAATTTAAGTACAGTGAACGCTCGAAAACTAGAAACTACAAATCTAAGAACGCATTATTAACTTATAGCTTATGTTTATCAAATGCTCTGATAGTGAGCCCTCCCATAAATAGAGTAACACTTTTGTTGTTGTTATTCAGTATTATCGTCTGGCATAAATATGCATTTTGTATGTGTGTGTTTGTGTGTGTAATTAGAGTAGTCATGGTATTACAATTACCCATATTAAGCTTACAATTAGCAACTGTACTTTGCCACTGGTGTTGGGTATTTCATTTCATTTCACTTCAGTTTTCAGTTTATTTGTATGCTGTTTACTTCCTCGGCACAAGATGGTCATTGAGGCGGTGTTTTTTTTTTTTGTAGCTGTTTCTTTCTTTCTTAGGGTTAAGAAAGCGTTACGAAATATATATACATATTTTGAAAAGCTGCCGCGCCGCATTTTGCGAGTGTCATGCAGACGGGTTCGACCTCAACACCACCCCTCCAAGCCCTAATCTCGGCCAACCTATCTGTTTCTTGTGCAGCTTTCTTTAGGCCAAACATTGATGTCAAAAATGACTGTTAAATGGTTTCCCCCCTCATTTTTTTCTTTTTTTAGTTTCTTATTGTAATTGTTAAAATGGTTGTTTGCCATTTTGCCTGCTCATGATTTTTCCTTATACAACACAACCTTATAATCGAGGCAGTCAGAGTTTACTGTGTTAATGGACGGTTTGTGCTCGTGGTGCGAACTTTAAGTGTTTTACCCTTGCAACACACTCCGACTCCGAATACAGCCAAAAAATGGAATTGTAATTGTTCAAAAGTTGTATAAAAAGAAACACTGACATTAAATACATTTTTTTTGATTATTAAAGCAAAACCAGAAAAAAGATAAGCAGACAAATAAATACGCTGCCTCAAAAGTAGAGTTAGTTGCTGAAAATTTACATTTCAATTACTCTGTTCAAACGTTAAATTTTAGATATATGTTTTATAGCATTGCCAATAGTCAGCCAGTCTGGCAAACTCACCATACCCTGCAACAACAAATGTGGTTAGAGTATGTGCAAAGATTTCACTTTTAATGAGTTGATGGGTGTTTTTTTTTTTATCTTTTTCTTTTAGCTGACAGGCAATAAAGCAATTCAATGCCAACTTCAAACAAGTTAATGACGCACAATTGTTTGTTCAGACACGCAAAACTCCCAAGAACAATGCAAATATCATTAAAATAGTCGTAGATGTATCTATATACAAACATAAACACATATATCACACTTAATGAAATCAGGCACAAATAATTGCGAATTGTGCTTATTTAAGATTCGCAGTATTCCGTGTTTCATAATTTTCTGTCTAACAACAGGTATGACGCTGGTATCTCTGAGGTGCGTGAGTTGGCACATATATATCTATATACACATATATGTATATATATTTATACGGAAGATTCAGAATCAACACTTGCCAAAGGTACATAGCGAAATTTGCAAATAAACAAACAAATAGAAGCAGCCACGTGTGTTTAATAAGCGCACACGCATACATACACATACACACACACACACACACACACACATACACCCACACATACAATTTACATATAAACACATGCGGAAAATACAAATAGCTTTAAGCGTTGATTTCTAATATTGCTTAAACTGCTTTCAGTGTTGTGTAAGCTTTTAGATTTATGCACATACATATATACATATATTTGATCCTCCCCCTTTTATACACTATTTCGGGTTTACTTGCTTGCCAAATGGACTTGCATTGTTTTAACTGATTATGCAGATTCGCTACGCTTTTACTGCATCTCTCTCTCTCTCTCTCTCTCTCTCTCTCTCCATCTTTCTTATTCTCGCTGTTTTTATGTAAATTTCCAAGTTTGTCGCAGTAAATTGCATGCCATGACTGAATTTCGTTGTCCTATTGTTGTTCTTTTTCTGTTTTGGATAGAGCGTTGCCATATTGTTTAATTATGAGTTAGATTTCTGCGGCAAGCAATAATAAATCTGGTAACTCTTGTGCCATGCACCAATATACAAAGAAAATGTATGCATATAAAACTTTGTCCACACCTGCCTTGATTCATTAGGGCCCAGACCAGACAGGCGAAAACAAAAGAAAATTGCCGCAAGGCAAACACACAAACAATGCTGAAGCTCTCCAGGAAGCAACTGGCGGATTACACACACGTGATGTGTGCAGTCAGTCAGTCAATGAAATAAATAAAGAGAAGAAGAAGCAGAGGCAGACACGATGCACATTTTCTATTTCATTCACTTGCTGCTGCTGCTGCTTCTGTCGGCGACGACGACTCTTCTTATTTTTACTTTGTTTTTGCTGTTATTGTAAGCGTAACGTTATTTATGAGGTTTGCGAGCAAGCGGCAGTCAGACAAAGAAGTGTGTTAATGGACACACAACAAAGAAAAGAAATTGCACAAACTGCACAACACTAACCAACGATCGAACGAACGAACGAAGCAACCGGAAAAAGTGAAGCAACTAAACTCCAAAGCAGCTTGGCTTGATTTCGTTATTAATTTTAGCTGTGCAAAAACCAACAAGAAGGAAAAGCATTTCATACATTTCACAGATTCACAGATACACAGATATATATATATATATATATATATATATATATATATATATATATATATATGCATATATATACATATATATATATATATATATAAGTATGCTCGTTCCTATGTCTGCACATTAACAGCGCCTTATGTATAAAATTTAATGCATTTATTACAGTGCATCGAGCGTAGAAATTTTCAATTAAACGCAAATTAAAAATTGCCTATATACAAAAACAAAAAAACGCCTTTATTGGGGAAGTGCCCAAATCGATTGAGCCATATATGTACTTGGACTTTGTTCACAGTAATGCCCAGATTGAGGAGGGGGTAATACCAAATGATGTCGTTAGGTAATAAGTACAATATGTGGTTAATATAATTGCATTTGCCATTTCCTCAGATCGTTTAATTTGATGTTGATGCTTTACTATACTTATAATTTTTAGTTGATTCAGTCAGTTGTCATCATTTCTATTTATTCTGATATTCAATATTATCCGAGATTGTGACTAGAAAATTAAGAACTATTTTCCAGTCGTTTCGTTGAATTTGTTTATAACGCTTAACACGTCCTGAATACATTTTTAACTAGCATTAAACACACATTATTTTTTCGCCCATTTTCCATTTCCCTTGATATTAAGCTTATTCATCAATTATTCGTTCAGTCAGTCAATCAGTCACATAAGCCAGTTTTAAGTACGTATCGTGATATTATTTGTTGATCCGCCAACTATCGATCGCCACTGACCTTTAGTTGAGAGCGGAGAGAGGTTAAGGGTCAAGCTCAAAACCGATCCGTTTTGTTAATGGATTTTTGTTTTGTGTGTGTAGTAAATCGTTGTTCCTAATTTCATTTTTATTCCGTCGCTTGCAATGTATTCCGATATACACACAAAATGAGCAGAGGGCCAATCAAAACGTCAATCAGATTGATGGATTGACGGGTGATACCCAGCAGCATCTAAGCCAAATTTCTCTCCCCAGCAGCACTTAAATTAAATTGGGATAGATTTATTTTGGGAATCGCCCCAAGAACAAGAACTTAACGGGACTCTCCTCTTGACAGTTCCAGACAACAACAGGAACAACAATTGGGAGCGTTATTCGATTTGTTGTGCTTGTTTAAATTTAGATTTCAATGAATTATTTCGAGTGAGTGATATGCTGGCTAAAAATACGAATACTTCAATCTTAAATCATGTATTGCTTGAATGTATACAATATATTGATATATGGATACATAATTAAGGTTAAATGAATTCATGATAATCGCACTTGTCTTTATGGAAACATATATTACAACATTTTCCATTCCATTAAAACAAGCTGTTTTGCAAAAAAAAAAAGTAAAATAAAAAATTTCCCATCTAAAGCTGCCATTTTCAAAGTCGTCTCACACAATTACAAACGTATTACCTACATAACCATGTGCACATATACATATGTACACACACACTCATATATATATATATATATATATATATATATATACATATACATGTTTTTACAGACATTCACGCCTTTATTAAAATCAAGAACAGCTCGTAATTTACAACACGAACAGAGACTGGCGCCTGCTGCTTTTGTGGTTTTTTCGCTTTTTTTTTTTAAATTGTATATAGTGTTGCCAAGTTTTACTAAGCTATAGCTAAATAAAAGCTATGGGTTTGTGGAAAGAAACCTACTATAAATTTCGATAACATCGATAACAAAACTAATAAATTCCCCATAATTAATACTTGGAAAAACTAATTTTGTCAACACTGGCATTATTAAGTATTGTGTTCCGCACATTTTGCCAATTTGAATAGTGCATTTCCACTATGTTAATGCAACTGACATGTGTTTATGTGTGCTTGGTAGCTGTTATTGTTTATATGTGTTAGCTTTTTTTCCAAGTGCTGGCAACGTCAGCGAATTAATCATGCAAACCCCACTGCCAGCAATTACTACGAATGAGGAAAACAAAAAAGAAAATGCGGTTAAAACGCAGCTGGTCGTGCATGAGAGAGCGAGAGAAGGATAGAGCAGCACTTACACACACACGCACATATGTATACATACGCCAGGGCCAAAGCAACGCAGCGATGACGTCACAATGTTAGCAAAGAAACATTCGCTGCAGCGCTGCTTGCTTTTGTCTGACACCATTTGCGCTATTGCTTTTAATTAATTACAGGTCTGCTGCTCCATTGTGTTATTTTCTTTGTACATATACAATATATATATTTAGTTGATAAGACGGAACTATTATACTGCGTGTGTGTGTGTGTGGGTGTCTGTGTGTGAGTGCACACAAATGCAAATGAGGTTATCAATGCATTGTTGTTTTGTTGTTTACCGTTTGTTCGCATACGCACCTTGGGTTTATTGAGCCACTTGCGAAATGTATCCATGGTTGTTTAGCGGCAGCCGTCAACGTCAGCTTTACAGCTGTTGACACGCTGTTAACAGCTCAGCCACCTTCCTCGGCCCCCCTCCTTTGTGTAAAACAAAATGATCAGCACTGTCAAATGATTTGTTGGCTCCAATAGATGGCGTCGTCGTCCTTGCCCAACGCGCGCGTCTCACACACAACACAACAACAATAACATAAACGTAAGGCGCGTACGACAAAAACCGAACAAAACAAAAGAAGAAATATGCAAGTGAGAGGTGACTACAATACAACGATATATTCGTTCTGCTTGCTGCTTGGCCACACTGAGTCCGACCAACACAAGTATGAGTATGAGTATGCGTGTGTGTGTGTGTGTGTGTTCAACTACTGTTGCATTCGCGTTCGCGTTTGTTGTTGTTGGATTTTCACTTTTTGGGCATTTTAAATACACTTTTAACGAATTTTACACTTTTTGTATAATATGAAATTTGCTCGTCTCATGCTTCCTTTTGTTCATTTCCAAGTGCTAATTTTTTATTTTTATTTTTTTTTTTGTAATGCCCGTTTTGCACTTTGCTTCGTTTTTGACTTTGCCTCGTCGTTGAATTCGTATTCGTTTTTGGATTTTCGGTTTTGCCTTCAACAATTTTAACACACACACGCGTGACTCTTCGCGTGCTCTTTCCACTGCTCAGACATATCACATGAACTGCATTTCTTTACGTTGAAATTGCGTCGATTTGTTAAAATTTATAAAAATATGTTAAAACTGCATGGGAAAATGGTTTTTGTGCAGCGAAAAAACCATTAAACTCGCGCAACACTTATCCGCCCTACCGTTTGCACAAGCGAAGCGTGTACGTTGCGTTCAAAGATTTTTTTCGACTAACAGATCTTAACCTTTTTTGTTATTAAAAATATGTTAGCCAACTGTTAACAAGCGATAACATATCCGATAACATATTCGATAGCACTATCGATTGCTGTTGCCTAAGTTAAGGCTGGTATGCTGTTTACAAAATGGCACAGGAACAATTCCAATACGAAATCAGGTTAGTCACAACTGCGCGAATAGTAATATAATAAAATTATAATAAGAAATAAAACAATCACTTTCAACGAGAGGAATTTTGCCCATTTCTAGTTGGCAGAGGAGCAACATGCTCATTTTTGCGTTAACATGCATCATTTTTGCGCACCTAGTTTCCGTTCAGAATTTATAACTAATAGAAAGGAAATACTTGAAAAAGGGTTTTATCTGTGCACATTAAATTATATAATATTTAATTGCGCACGTTAATTGCATGCAATATAGCTAGACATACATACATATATTACGCATAGCATGATTCTGAGCTCAACTGAATAAAAATCCACAGAGTTGCCATATGGCTCGACTCCAAACTTTTTTTCGTTGGCTATAAAATTTAAAAATATTTAGAGTTGCCGTATGGCTCAAATATTAACTTGTTTTACGTTGGCTGCAAAATGTGAAAGAAATGTAAAATAGTGCGGCAATTAAATGTATTTTAATGAGCAAATTGTGTGCAAAATGTGATTATATGACAGTTATGACAGCTCCTACTGCAGGGCAATGCGTCGAAAGTGATTGTTGAGCGGCCCCTCGTCCGAGTAACCAGCGATCTCCTGCGGAATAATGCCCGACTCCTCGATGGAGGTGCACGGACGACACATGCACTCCAGCGGCGCCTTGGTCAGCACCTTCTTGAATTTGCGCTCGCCATGCTTGACTTTAGGACAGAACAAAGAGACGGCTGCCTCGCGCTCCCCCGACTCCTGGCAGCACATACAAGAGCGTTCCATTTGCCAGATTTTGCTGCCCGAAACCTAAATGGGAGGAAGGAATGCCTGATTGATTGATTGATCAATTGACAATAACAGGAGGCAGCCTGTGTACCTGTATGTAGCTGGCACAGCGACCCACGCAGGCAAACGATGGGATTGGCTTGGGCACACAGCCCGGATATTGCAGCACATGAATCACTGGCGTCACCTGGCAATCGTCTCCAAGATGGCCAATATCTGCAAATGCCATAATTGCTATAAATGCCAAACGCCCATTGAGACAAATACCTTTGATACCATTGTCGTTTCTGGACACCGCATTGTCCGACTGCGCCATGCACAGCTTCAGTAGACTGACCAGGACGCAGTACAGCAAGATAAGCACAAATATCCGATTGTTCTCGTGGCGCAGCAAATGTGGAAGCATTTTTCGTTGTCACCCCGAAGTCGCGACTTGCCCTCAAATGGAAAACGCTCTCAGCCGCCCGACGCCTTTTATAGATGGAAACGTGTCCATCGCTGTCGCCTTTATATGACTTATTGTCCAATAAAGAACGCTGCCAGGCTGATGAACAAACAATGGCTTTTTCGCCTAGTAATTGCATACATGAAAACACCATTTATCCCGCTGCGTCTCGAACAGCAGCTCATTTATTTGCCCACATTTCTATGCACAAATCACTGCTGCTTAAGCACAAAACTGACCAGTGTCGACATCATCAACATTAGCAGCGACGTCGTCGCGAGTCCAGCAGCACCGTTCCTCTGTGCCAAATACTTATTGAGATCGCCCAAACGCTTTGCGGCCCAGTCCAGATTCGAGTCCACATTGGTCAGCGCCTTGCTAAGAATCTCCGCTGAGCTGCCGAACAGCGCATATTTCTCACTGTAGAAGTCGGAGAGCAGCGTCCGCTGCTCACTCGTAGTGAAATAGTCCGCCATATCGCTCAGCGCCTGGGCTGTCTTCGGCCAGCTATCCAAACTGTCTCGGTTAAAAAATATTTATTTATTATTACACATTTGTTCAAATATTTTTTGAATTGTGTGAAAATATTTTTAATTCAGATTTGCGATGATTCTACTGCATTTGTCGGTTAAACAAAATTATTATTACCGATTTTGAAATGTTCTTCATATTTTCTTTTTTTTTAGTTTTGAACTGTTTGAAAATATTTTGTATTCAGAAATGAGATGATTTTACTGCATTTGTCGGTTGAGCCAAATTATTATCACAGATTTTTAACTGAGTTTAAAATTTTCTTTTTTGGTTTTCAATTGCTTGAAAATATTATTGAGCAAAATTATTATTAGAGATTTTCAAATGTTTCTTATTTTTTTTTTTAATTTTGAACTACTTGAAATTATTTTAAAATTTGACTTACTGCATTTGTTAATCATATTAAATATTTCTTTTATAAAAAAATGTTTGATGAATAATTAAAGTGAACTTACGCATTTGCCAACTGGGTGATGTCCTCGGTTACCATTTGGAAAATGGGAGTTATCAAGTCGGGATTCTGCTCGTACAGCTGAGCGAGGGCGATAAGTTTGAGAGAAACGTCGTTACCGCTGCCAGTGCCTATAATCTGGTTATGGTAGTGCGTCCGATAATCTCTCGTGCAGCTGGAGGCGCGCAAAAGAGGTTCTCGATCTATGGCGTTAGTTTCTTTCTCATAATACTGCAGGACGCGGTCATATCCACCGGCTCGTGAGGCTGCACAGTAGAAGATCTCTCGATAGTCGGGCGTTGGTTTCTCAGAGTCGGCTTCGAACTTTTGCCGCACCTGGTTGTTGCAGTCCTCCGATTGGTATTTGCAGAGCCAGGCCACCTGTAGGTTGCGATTGTAGACATCGAGCACCTTATCATTGGAGCTCCAGCTCACTCCGAGCTTATTGTAGACCGCAGCTGTGATATCACTCAGATATTTGTTGAAATTGGGCAGCTGCTGTGGTGTTAAACGCTTTGAGACCCGTGTCAAGCCCTCATAGGCCGCATACCATGGAATGTAATCGGTTTCTGTGCTCATATACTCCATAAATTTAAGTACATCGACGTAGTCAATCATATCCGCGTGGGCAAAGTTGAAAAGATCATCGACGAGAGCTGCACGATTCTCGACGGGAATATAACTGTGATTGATCTCTGTCAGTGCCTTTTGGATACGGCCCACCAGCGGTTCTGTATACTTTACTCGATGGTAGTTGGACTGCTTTTTATTAACGATAATCCACTCAATTGGCTTGTCAAACGTTTGCTTATACATTCCAGCATACATGAAAAACTGTGGAGTCAAATCTTCAAAGTCGGGCGATTGATTTGTGGCAAAGGTGATGGGCACCGTATACGTCAATGCGACATCGCTGCCGTCTTTGGGATTGAGCAGAAAGCGCTGCTGCTCGAAGAAGACGCTATAGCCACTCTCTTCAAGTTTAACAAGTATCACAGGGTAACCTTCCTGAACTGTGAAGGAACCGAAGAAGCTATCCAAGTCGGATTCAAAGCCATTCCAGTTTGATTTGAGATGGGCAACAAATTGGCTGGGGTATGTGTTTTGCAAATGGCTAAGCGAGGAAACAGAAATGAGATTTCTAGAATTGGCTCAACTAAATTAGCACTTACTACTCCTTCAGATAGTTTTGTACGGCTCTGTCAAAGTTTTCGCTGCCCATCGCATTTCGGCACATGCGAATAAAGCTGGCTCCCTTCGCAAATGAAATGCTCGAAAACTTGTTGTAGATTTCATCGGGGGTTTGAACTCTCCATTCCCCGCTGGTCAAGGGCTGTGTGCCATATAGAGAGTCGGTCGTAAGGATATGCTGAAGTTTGTGCACAACAAATTGTTGGTCCAACTGATACTCCGGGTATAACTGCAATGAATACAACCATTTTTGGAATACTTAAGTCTCTTAGCATTGTGATCTTTACAAATGAGTTCGACTAGGAATCCCTCAGCACTCGAGTATTAGCTAACTTTATATACCTTTGCTCAAATATATACACTTCTTATGCTTATGCTTAATCTCTAAAAATTTCCCCCAACTTTAAAGATATACTTTCCAAAGTCCTCTCAAAAAATCTCAAGATGTATTCTTAAATTAATGGTTTTGGGGTCATTAGCCTCAATATCAAGTTGTGACTAGAGAGTTACTAATAGTTTATCTTGATAATTAATCAGATATTCAGCTGAGCTCAAAATAATATCAGGACTTTTGGAAGTATTGAAAATGTTTAAATTTTTGCTCACTTCTTGCTTGAAATGTTATTTATTTCATGAAGTATTGTCTCTTATGAAGTAGTTTGCATTTTGTTGGCAATAAACATAGGAAAACACAGCAAAAACATTAAAAATAACAAAAATCTCCTAGAAATGCCCGCTTAAAATTATAGTAGTGTTTTTTTATTATCATTATTAGTATTATTTTGAGCACAATTTGCACGTCTGCCATCGATTTTGGTAGAGTAAGTTTATCAAAAATAATAAATAAAGTTGATCGACGTATTAATTATAGCCTGAATCGAAGTTGAGTTAGATAACACTTGCACTGATAAGTCAATAAAATCCAAATATTATACATATAAATAAATGTTAATACCAACTCAGATCGTTATCTGCAAGTGCTGATTTTTATTCCATTTAGGTTTTAATATTCGTATTAAATGGGTAAAGAGTTTAATGGGTGAAGAGTTTGAACATACCTCGTGTCCAATGAAGAACTCATAGTAGCGAGCCAATCCCTCTTGCATCCAAAAGAAACCCCACCAGGCGATCGTGACACTGTTGCCAAACCACATGTGCGCATTTTCGTGGACTATGTTGCGAATGGTGAACTCCTTCTGTGCCCAGCCGTCCGTGTAGCCAGGCTCTTCCAGAACAACCTTATCTCTGAAAGCCCATTTAGAATGTGTTATCGGCAATCAATGTCATTTTGTTGGGTTTTTAGTACACACTTGAAAATTACTAAGCCCCAGTTCTCCATACTGTTGTGGCGAAAGATTGGAGTTGTCGCATACTGGAACACTTCGTTGCCCAGTTCCTGGTAGGGCTGCTGGAACAGCTCATTGAATGCGGGAAGCGCCCTTTCAGCCACACTGTAGCTGAACGAGGTGTGGTCGTAGTACGACGGTCTTGTATAAATGGCCAGAGTGCTATTGCCCCGTGCCTTATACTCGGATATGATGAAGGCCAATAGATAGCTGGACATTATGGGAGTTACATCAAACTGATCCGCAAACCGATTGTTGCTACAATTCTCATCTAGTTATAGTTGGTATTTTCGTAAATTATATTCGAATGCTTACCCCTCGTCTGTGGTTTTAATCAGTTTTGTGTTGCTGATTGCATTAAATCCACTTGGCCGTTCAATGGTCACCTGGAACTTGGCCTTGAAGATTGGTTCGTCAAAGCAGGGCAAAACGAGGCGTGCATTGATGGCCTGCATGTGAGTTATCAGCACCATTTTGCTTGTGTTCGTCTCTTCATCCAGGTAGCTGCTGGAGAACAGGCCCTCCGGACGAGTCTGTACTTTTCCCGTGTACTTGAATTTCAACAAATAGTCCTGATTGACAACTAATGCCTGAGTCAGGGGCACAGTTAGCTGCTGAGTTGCCTGCTCAAATGACATCGTTTGGATCGCAATGTTCTCCACCAACTCTCCTTTTGTGTAGAGTCCACAAGTTGTTATGTCAATGTCGTCCTTGTGTAGTGTTATTTGAGACACATCCGCATCCACAGACTGCAGGGTGATTTCGACATCGCCATCGAATTTATAAGATGGCGCAGCTGGATTTAAAACATCCTGTTGAACACTTATGCGCAGGTTGTAGAAAGATGGTTTTACACTGATTCCGAGCCGATAATCAAGACACTCGGAGCTGCCTAGCCAGGTCAGCAACGGCAGGATGACCATTGGCCACAGTCTGTAACCACGACTATTCATGTCGAAGGCGAATTCAATACTGAGTTGACTCCCGGCCAATTGTATAATTATGGACTCACGTAAGCTCAAAACTACCAATGTTTTGGTGAAAAATCGATTGGCGTTTGCAGATAGCCGATAATAGGAGTCATACTTGGTTTTTATACTTTGATCGCGAAGATGTCATAGTATATTGGTTTTGTGCAGTGTCCGTCATGCTGTCTGTCCGTCCGAGATTGCGACTTGGAACTTGAAACATATACTGATCTATGCCCGCGCCAGACAAAGTGTAAAAATTGGAGTGCTATGTCCACCATGGGACTAGGAAATCGATAAAATCGATATTCGGAAATCGTTAAAACATATCTTAACATTTTTGGGGCTAAAGTAACCAAATTTTGTTGGTAGATTGTTGTCCATTTCCTTCAAAGATCGGCATATGACAAGCCCGCCTCTATATCTTCCGCAGTTTCTGAGTTAAAGCCGTCAAATTTGTTATATATATTTATTACTGGTAGCTGCCTTTAAGAACCGATAAGCCTGCGCCCATAATTGCCAAAGCCGATATTTCGGAAAGTGTTAATCGATAAATCCGCATAGCTCCCCCAATTTTGAAGATTGAGTGACAAAACTTGGAAGGTAACTTGCTGGTAACCTCCTCCAAGGATCGGCATATAATAGACCACGCCTATTTCCGCCGCCCACAGGAAGCTAGAGTCACCAAGTTTTGAACGTCTGTTCCCAGTAACTCTCCTAAGAGATCGATAAAAAAATTTAAGGGCTATGCCCACTCCGCATCCGTAAACCGATACACCTGTTGGTGTAAGTCGATAAGACCATGGCCAAATTTTAAAGGTATATTGCTAGTAACACCCCTTCAAAAATCCGGAAACAAAATTATTGGACAACGCCCACTACCGCCCTTAAAACGATTAAAGCCTATATCTCCCGCAATTTAAGAGCTACAGTTACCAAACTTCGAAGAAACGTTACTAGCTTATGTCTATCGCAATTTGAAAGACAAACTTGGATGGTATTTCCTGGCTACAACCAGCCTCTTCCTTGCTACGTGTTTTCTGCTCGACAAAGTATTTTGAAGTCGGTTACACTTGACTGCAATGTTATCTCTAGTTTTTTTTTTATATATTATTGTTTTTCATGTGAAAAGATAAAGATAAAGATTATGTTGATGATACAGATATGAATTCTGAACTATGTTGTTAAGTGACTATTTGAGCTATCGGCTTTTTAAACGCTTTAAGTTCAAGAAATGAAAACGAAGGCATTTTCCACAACGCTACAACTCTATTTATTTAGTGTAGAGCGCGAGTAATTCGACAATAATAAAGTAATTAATTTTGTGACTTCTTTTTCGATTACGAAATACTTAAAAAGACTCTCTTAATTAAGCCAGAAGTTAAAGAATTTAGAGATCAGCAACAGTAAGTAATAACAACTGAGCTGTCTTTTTGCTAGCTATCCAAAGTGCAAGAAACGTAGTCAATGATTTGAATATAATTTAGTCCAACATTGCCAACTGGGTGATGTCCTCCATATTCATTTTGAAAATGGGAACTACTCAGTCCGGTTTCTACTTAAATATTTGTAATAGCAAATTTGATTCGATAGCAACAAAACTTGTGTTTTTCGTATAAATAACAGTTGAAATAGTGATAAACTAACAACTATAAAACAAAAGTCTGTAGTCATAAAGATTACTTGAGTTTCATTAAAATGTTGCAATAGTTAGTTTTATTCAAAGCAATCTTATCTGGATAATTTATTGACTTTGAACGGGCAGAAAGTGATTCCAAAAAAATACATTTGTTGAATGAGTAATTCCAATCTTAGATTCTGATGGCCTTAGTGCAGCAATGTGGTCAAAGACACCAGCAGCAAGGAGAGAAGGCTGAAACCGCTGATCGTGGCGCTGCCGTTATACTTGGCCAAATAGACACGGAAGGTGTCCAGTTTGGATTCGGCCCAGTCGAGGTTCTCCTTGACGGTTGTTTCCGCTGCCTTCAATGTGGTTGCTGAGCTGCCAAACTTGGCACTGTTCAGCGAGTTGAACTTTTGCAGATCCTCGTATTGCGATTGCTCCGTGAAGCGTGAAGCAATGTTAGAGATGACCGTAGCAACCGCCGAGTAGCCACCCATGCTGTTTCAAATCATTAGAAATTATAAATGAATCAAATACAATTTACAGTATATGAATTGCTTACGCGTCAGCTAGTTTCTCAAAGCGTGTGGTGACCAGTGCAAAGACGGGACTAACATTCTCGTTGTTCTCAGTGTAGAGGGTAGTCAGCACAGATGATTTGTCTTGCCTGCGAATCTCATCCGACAGAATCAGATCGAAGACACGTTCGATGAGCGCCTGTTGCTTAACGCAACCGAACGAGTTCTGCAGCAGCATCGCCTCGGTGGCCACCTTTTCATCTTTGAACTTCTGATAGAGTGCATCGAACTCAGTGGGACCACCCTCGCGCAGTGATACACAATAGACCACGGAGCGAAGGTTCTTGGGCACCGATCCGAGTGACTTGAAATAGGTCTTGGCATGGCCAATGCATTCGGCATTGCCAAAGCGACATCTCCAGGATAGCACCTTTGTCCTCAAATAGACATCGAGCGCCTCATCTGTGTCGGACTCGCCAAAGCCCAGCTTGAGATAGGCATTAGAGGTTTGCTGCTGGATGTAGTAGCCGAAATGGGCTGTATCCGTACCCAGGCGTATGGCCAGGAAGTCGAATCCGTTAAACGCTGATGTCCATGGTATGTAGTTGACTTCCGATGCCAAATACTCCAGCACCGACAATGTCAGATCATAGTGAATGTGTCCGGCTCGTGCCAAATTCAGTAAATCGTCAGCAATCTGGGCACGATTGACTTCGTGTATATCGCCCCAGTTGCTGCTGCCGACGAGCTCGGAGCGAATTGCATGCCAATTCTTTTCAGTGTAATTGACCCGGTAGTAACCAGTCTCCTGAATGTTGGCAATCACCCAATTAGCGGCACTGCTCAACGGGGTAGTTTGGGTTGCGGTATATATCACAAGCTTCGGCTTGGTATCCATGAAATTTTTCTCCTGACTGGTGGTGTAGCTAATGGGCACCGTGTAAAGCAGACTGTCGTCGGATCCATCATTCTTGAGCAGGAAACGTTTCTGGCTGAACGTGATAGTCTTGCCATCATCGGACAACTTGACATTGATCAGCGGATAGCCCACCTGGGTGGTAAAGCTCATAAAGATCTCAACCGAACTGCTATTGAATCTATCTTCTGGCCAGTTCTTCTGCCACGCATTCAGCAGGAACTCCGGCACAGATGACTGATACTGGCTATGACACCACAATGAGAATGGGAAACAAGATTAAATACTAATTTTGGCTACACTATTTAAAATAACATCGATCATTAGCTTATCAGTAATCGGAACACAATATAATACAATAGATTGACAGACAGACAGCCATATGGACAGATAAGGCCAATACATTTTATATGTTTATCTGTGAGAATAGAGACTAGTAAATACTTACTATTTGACGAGATATTCTTGTAGGGATGTCTGGAAATTCTCAGTGCCCATGGTGTGCTCAATCATGCGAATGAACGAGGCGCCTTTGTTGTAGGAAATGCTGTTGAACATACGGCTAAGATGGGCCGGCGTATAAGTGTTCTCATCACTCAATGGATTTGTGGCAATGGTCGCGTCCATTCCCATCACCGGCTGAAGTTGAGCCACGACAAACTGTTTCTCCAGTTGCCAGCTCTTCTCGACAAGGGCGGTGCCAAAGTATTGAAAGTATTGGGCGAAACCCTCATTTAGCCAGGTATAGCTCCACCACTTACAGGTAACCAGATCACCGAACCACATATGCGTCTGTTCATGGGCCACAAGTACGGCAATGGACTGTTGAGATGACAGCGTTGTGGCTGACTCATCGACCAGCAAGCTGCGTTCCCTGTAGGTGAGGAGGCCCCAGTTCTCCATTGCACCTGCCGAGAAATCGGGTATGGCAGCCATATCCATCTTATTATTGCCCAACGTATAGTAGTCCAATTTGAGATATTTGCCCATCTCATCCAGAATTTGGCGACCCACATTGAAACTGTATTGCGTCTGTGTGTAATACTCGGGGCGAGCCAGAACACCGAATTTATCGTCATTGCGCTTGGCGAACTCGGATATGATGAAGGCCAGCAAATATGTGGACATTTTAGGCGTTGTATGATAAAAATCCAAATAGTAATCCCTAATGCCAATAATTAGTGGAGGGGCCCAATGCAAAGAGTTATAAAATAGTAAGACTTACGGATCTTCGGTTTGTGTGCTGGACTTTTGCCTTGTGTTACTCGCACTGTTGAAGGTGTGGTGACGCTCAAGGCTCACATTAAAGGTGGCCTTGAACTGCGGCTCATCGAAACAAGGAAAAGCCCGACGTGCATGATTTGTCTGGAACTGCGTGGAGCCCAGCCATCTGTAACCAAAAAAAAAACCACAAGCAATACCACATTAATCACTGATCAGATACTGAAGATGAACTTAGCAAAACCCACTTGGTCTCATTGTTGTCATTCACATAGGAGCTGCGATAGAAGCCGTGCATATCATCCCCCATCAGACCAGTATATTTGAAATGCAGAATGTATCGCTGTTTGGCAATCAAATCTAAACCTGTATAGAAACTCCTGATGTCTGTTTCAGCATTCTGTGTGGGGTTAGTTATCTGTCGGATTTGGGCTGTGGCACCTGCAGCCGGCTTTTCCCAATATTCGCTGCGCGAGTATTCTAAGTTTTTCGAGTGCAGCGACACCAGGTTTGTAGTCTGCACCGGTTCGATTTCAATCCACACCTCACCATCGAAGGTGAAACGCTTTGTGTTATCGCTTTCCAGCAAATAGGGACGCAACGTTATATCATAATTAATGGGATTTATGTGCTCGGACAATCTATATTCCCAGTTCTCAGCGGCAAAAGTTGTGGGTGGCTCCAAGTCCAGTTTCCTAGTGTCAGCCAGGACGACGGATAGGCACCCTGCGCAGAGGACAACCAAGCGTAGGGCAAACATGACGACTGCAACATGAAGTAAACATTTAGCGATAAGCGACCAATGATCAGGTTGGATTATTTCAATAATTTATATAAACACTCAACAAGTACTTTAGGCTCTTTTCTCCGGAATTGTGATTTGACAACCGAAGTCAGTCTGCCAGCAAATAGTACTAATAAAGGCATTCATTTATTAAAACAGCTTTTCTTTCAACCAAGTTATAGTCTAAATCGGTTATAGATTACGAGATGATTACGCAGGTGCAGCCGATAAGAGCTTATGGCGATGGCTTGTGGCCGAGAGTTATATATTGATATGTTAACTGTGGACTATAAAATAGGTAATATCGGTTATAGTGGTTATTGAATAAGAACACATGAGAGATACATTAAAAAGCCTTAACATTATCAGCTAGTACGCTGAATGCGTTTGTAATCTCAGAACCTGTGAAAAACTATTACACCACTTATAGCAATCCTATTTTATAAGTCAATTAAAATGGAATCAATTCTCTATTGTGATTTTATTATTATAGCAAATTATGTTTAATTATAATTTTAAAACGGTTTTGGTATGACAACAAAATACAATTTAAAATAATAAGATAATTAATTATTATTTTTATTTTTTATAAAATTTGTTATTATTATATTATTGCTGTTATTCTACTACTCTGCAGTGGGGTGAGCTCGACTACGATATACCCTGAACCCAGCTTATTGTCAAATTTGTCTTTCAAAAATGTTCACACCCAAATATAATATATTTATGTATAATATAATTTATAACAGTATTTTTATACTCTATATACTCGCCACAATCGCATTATCAAAATGCGCATGGGCTTTGAACATAACTAAAACTCTTTTGTTTACCGGAAATTCAACTGCTGATTAGCTTATACATACATATATTAAATGTCTAACACTCCGGGCTATCCCAGTAATCGACACAAGAAGTGAATAAAATTGCAAAAGTAAATATATCAATAAATTTAATTAAATAAATATATAATCAATATTCACAGGTACAGGTAAAAACTAAGCAATAATACTTATACTTATAATTAATAGTTAATGTATGTATTTTCAGAGAACCCTTTCGGTTTCAGCATGTTCCATTTCATAGTAGAGATAACGTGGTCTAAAATCTAACTGTTCTCCAGAAATCGAATGTTTATCTTTCTTGTTCACATTGCTGGCTTTCATGAACTCCGCCTCTCGAAAATTTGAAACTGTAGGATAGACATAATATTTAGATAAGTAAGTTAGTTATTTAGATTCGATAAATAACTTTTGACAGGGTAAATAATATTATTATTACTATTTACATCACTTACCCAAACAGCACATGGAAGCGCATAGATTTGGCGCTGTGCTGGAAAAGGCAGTTGTCTCGGGTGTCTCATTGGACGCACTGGGCGCACTGGGTGCACTGGGCGCAGTGGACACGCCCACCGCCTGCAGATCGCACATCGAGCGAGCCTTTTGCGGGCCAGCGTGTGAAGATGTTACCTGGCTAATGATGACTGGAATTTGGGCAGCAATAAATCGTGCCGAGGATTTGGTTTGGACGACGACCTCAACCTCATAGCTCAACTGCAGGCAGCCGCAGACAGCAGCGCCCATAGTGGGTGGTGTATGTGGCACATGCAAAGTGTGCAGATGCTGAAAGTGAAGCAATCCGTGGCGTGGCAACGACTGCAACTGATGACTGCTGCTGATCAGATTGCGACGCACTACTTGGCTGTCGACCCGCTTCGGCTTATCCAATTGATGACCCACATATGTGCTGACCAGATTCAGCTTGTAAATGATCGACTGCAGCGGCAGCTGTTGCGGATTATGTAGCTCCGCATGCACAGATATACCAGCTCCCAGCTCATAGCTACTGCGTGGTATATCCAACTGTAGGTGCAGCGCTCGTTGCCAGAACTTCAGCGATGGTGTCTGCTCCAACGCAGTCACCTCACATGGCGCCTGGCCGCTGTTTGCCTCCTGGTTTGGATCCCATCGCTGCTGCACATGTATTTGACATATCTGCGCCGGCTCCGGCGGCAAATCGGAGCTGCGTCTCAGCATCAGCTGCAATGTGTAGCGTATGTGTCCGTGCTCAGCCTCATAGCTGCTGGGGCAGTTTGCCGGCAGCTGCACGCTGAAGTTGTAGCAATAGGTGCCCGCCGCCATCAGCTGCGGCAACGCCTCCTCCGAGCCCACAAAGTAATCCACCTTGGCAAAGTAATCCACACGCTGACCATAGGCAATCATTGGCTTTAGCACTTGTGGCTTATTGTTCGCCCTTTGCTTCTTTTGTTTTTGTGGTTTCAGCCAGTTGCTGCACGCATATCCATTGGACTCCAGTGAAATGGCTTAAAAAATTAATATTATTATTAGTATTTGTATTCAGACAAGTGTAAGCTGGCCTAATTTCAAATAAATTATTATCTGAAAAATAAAATATCTATCTTTGACTGATTTACTGTTCCATATTTATAATATTTGAATCGGATTTGGCAAATTTAATCTTCAAAGCATAACACAAATTAAAATATCATGGAAATCCAAACTGTTTCTTATACAAGTCGTTGAAGTTTTCCTTTTTCTATTTTGTTTTTTAAGTTGTCAATATTTGTTGCTTTTTATTTTTATGCATATGTATTTAAAATATTTGTATCTTATTTAATTTGCATTTGCTTATCTATTAAATCAACACTTCGTTCTTTCGATTAAATCTACACTTCGAGTGGGCATGATTCATGCCGCACGCATTGGCTTATCACTTGGCCCAAATCATGACTCATTGGCACTTACCTTTGATTAGCGCACGGTCCGTTAGTGTGAGATTGATATAGCCATTGACCGTCTCGCCGGCATGATAGACCCCACTGGGCCGCTCCAATTGTATATCACAAAATTGGCTCATTATTTTTTTTTTAACGATCTTTAACGCTAGACGAACGTTTACTGTTTGTCAAATTGTTGACAATGTTTGGCCTATAAAACGCTGCTGGGCCGTCGGTCTTATCAACCTTCTGCTTGTTGGCCTTTAGTTATTATGGCGTTTATCTAATCGCAGAGTGTTTCACACTCTCATGTCATAAACAATTAGTAAATTTAATTAAATGGGTTGTCAATCGTTGCCTATTTTCAGGCGAATGAAAAAAAGCCAACAAATTCGTCCATATGTCAGCAGTATGCTTAAAAGACCCTTGCATATTATGGACACTATTCACATTAAACATCAAACAATGAATAACTACTATTCCCAATCAATGTAAAATTGAAGCCAATATGAGTGTTATTTTTCAACTGATTTCGCAAAAGTGATTTCTTCGGAAAGTCTTCTTAGGTAAAGTCAGTGTGAAAAATTGGTGTACTTAGAATAATATAGATCATTAAATTCAAAATATTTCTGTTGATTTTTTGTGTATACACATTTATTGGCCAGTTATTATGAACGTATTAGTCGTAGCTTAAAGTTAGAAGGTATAACTACATCTCTATGCTCGTATATGTATATTTATTTATTTATTTATATATATATTTTATAATCGTAAAAAGTAGTTTGCATGTAAAAAGCCATGGAATAATATGCTAAGAAATTTTATTGGCACATAATAAGTTCTCTTGGATTAAATTTGAATTTGGATGGCAGTAAAGTATAAATATGAGCATTGAGCGCTTTCAATAAGACGGATAATGATACACTCTAAAAAATATTTTGAATACTTACACCTGAACACTTAAGTCTATTACAATCTTATTTATATATTACCACCATGGATTAATTTAAGACACTTGAAGTTAGAATTGATGCTCCTCCTGAGCCTGCAGCGGAGCTGTTGGATGCACCTGAACGGTTACATCCAGCACAGCCAGCTCCTCCACCTCCTCATCCTCCTCAACTTCGACAAGCTCACCCTGCTCAGACAGGGGACCACAGAGCGAACCGAACGTATCCAGACTGCGACCCGTGTGATCCGTGTCCAGTGAGCCATACGAGCGATAGTGATGCATGTCCAGTCCAGAGTCCTCCATTCCATGTGCCGGCGCAGTGCCTATAAGCGTACTAAAGCCCGGGAACTTTGGCAAGACTATGCGTGGTTGGGGAAATTGCTGACTCTCCAGTGTCTGCTGGCTGCCAGCCAATGTGGCAAAGCTAAACGAAGGCGGCACTGTAATCCAATACAAAAAAATAAATAAGATCAGTAATTTTCGGCGAAGGCGAAGTCCGGAAAAAAGGGTCAAATTACTCTTATTGGTCTTATAGACACTTAATGCCAAAGATCTGTAGATCTGTAGTCGTATAATTATAATACTCACGGCAACTATCATAGGATGGCGGCTCATCATCCTCCAGGACTTGATGCGCCTGTTCGACTGCCGTTTCGGGCTCCTGTTCGGTCTCCTCATCCACCGTTGCGGGTCTCGGCTGGACGCGTTCAATCAGACGCTGTCGCTCCGGCGTCGGCGTCGGCGTGCGTCGTCCTGGTTGATTGGTGCGCACCGTTCCACGCAGATGATGCAGGGGAGTGGTGCCGACCACAATGGGCACAGATAGATCAGTATCGTAGTGAAAAAAGCCCGTCTTCAGCTTCACCTGCAGCGAATAGTGTACGAATACAATGTAGTTGGGATTCAGTGTGGAGCGGGGCGTGTCCATGGGCACCATTATGGTCGACTCGTACACTCGCTTGGACAGTCTTAAGGTGCGATCTGTGACGACCTCTTTGCACAGCGTCTTCGTATAGAAGTTTCGCTTCACCGGTTTTCGTGAGAGGAAAACGAAATGCTGCTTTATGGACACCTCAACACCAACGATATCGTAATGCGGCGATTGGTTGTCGATCTCCACGCTGAAGGGCACATCCTGGAGCGGTGCAAAGCCAGAAACGGGCAGCGCCAAACTGGTGCTAATCGGTCCCGAGATGCAGGGCCAATGGCAGAGGTATTTGATATTCTCATCCTTGACGGGCAGCTGTGTGAAATGGTGTACAAATTTTAGTATGTTGCTGAAAAGTACTTTCTATATAAAATGGAATACTTGAGTATTGTGAATCGATGGAATATTGGTAGTGTATATAAACTAATATTTATATTTAGAAAGCTCAGAAATTATTCTTTGTGAACTGTTTTTTTTTTTAAATTAGTTGTGTATTTTTTTATTTATTTGGTTTTGTTGATTTAGATATTTAACGAAAGCTCAACAAATATTCTCTGAGATACATCTTAGGTACACAGTTAGTAGATAAAATAGTTTTTAAATTAAAAATCGATGTCAAACAACATATTTCGGATTTGTTGATTTATCGTTTTGTCAATAATTAAAATAAACAAACGAATACGTGCATATTTAACAGCACAAGCACTCACACAAATGGGCACAATTAAAAGGGCGATTGTTTGTGCCACGTCACTTTGGACAATTTGCCACATGCGACAATTACGTACCGCAAACTCAGCGTTATAATTGAGATCCAACGTTTGCACAACCATAATCGGTTTGCGAAAGACTTCATCGAAGCCCCAGAGCTTGTCGATGGTCAGCGAGATGTTGTACGCAATATAGCCATAGGGACCCTTGCAGGTGCTGGGGCAATCGGGGGGGATGCGCAGTGTGAGAACGTAAACATGGACACCGGCGCGAAACAGTGAATTATCGAAGACATTGGTGCGGGTGTGCAAATATTGCTGATGTCCCGAATAGTTTGAGGTCTCACTTTTGCCGCTCATGGACCACTGAACCTTGGCCTCACCCTCCAAGGTCACATATACAGCTGCGAAGGGGAGGTACGTCATTATTATTGTTATAATGGCTATTTGATTTGTGTTTATTTTTTCCCTATATTATTGGTAACTCTTCTTTTTTTTTTTGGACACACCATTTACGCGCTTCACTTTGTCCGTACGCAGCAGAATGCGTCCGCTGATGTATTCGCCGCTGTTGTAGATTGGATTTAGGCGATCCAGCTGAAAAACACAGGTGGTGGGCATGGCTATAAGATGCTGTAGGATGCTGTTCACATCACAACCAAACAAAATGGGAACAGGACAAACAAAACTCAACTGAACTTTGGCACAGCCAGACGCGCACTGAGCTCCTTTGTTGTGCGTCTGTGCGTCTCCTTATCTCTCTCTCTCTCTCTCACTCTCACTCTCTCGAGCTGTCCCTCTCTCGCTCTCTCTCTCTCTCTCACTCATCCAGCATCCGGGTGTGTGCTGTTCGCTGCTGCCAAAAGGGGGCGGAATCAATAAGTTGGCGCCTTGCGTCTGTGTAACCGTCTACTGTCTGCTTGTGGTATAATATTTCAGAGCGAAACGTTACCAAATTGAACAACGCTTTGTTGCTTGCCCCCATTCAGCGTCTTTGTTTGTGCTACTATGCGACGTAAAAAAGAACCCCCGAAAAAAATATCGAGGAAATATGAAAACAGCGACGAGAGGTCAGCACCATTCTCTAAGAGTTCATCAAATTTTTTCGGTTTGTTTTTGTTTTATTCGATTTTTGCGCATTTTTTCCATAATCGTGGGCGAAGAGCATTGTCAATGCTATCAACATATATTTTTGGCGGCAATAAACGCTGTTCAAGCCACACGTATTTGATTTAAATGAACGCCATTTTGCCAGCTCCATGGCTGCCACAAAATGTGTCAACAAAATTTGACAGCTTCACTGAGCCCTTTTAATGTTGAACATTTTGGGTTTCTCAATGGGCTGCTCTGCCCTGTTAGCCTACGCAAACTGTTCACTCAATTTACTGTAGATAATTGTGAAAATGAGTTCGCCTTGACCCGTTCCGTAAATATGGCTTCTGCATTTAATTAGGAAGCAAAAACACATTCTACAAGTGGATTCCTGGCTTGCTTGGTTTATGGAAACAATGCAAATTAAAAGTAATTCACTTGCTTTGTAATAAGCATCAAATTTACAATTATTATTACTTTAAATGTTATTTTGATTAGTATATCAATATTACTCTTATTATTTTTTAATTACAAAATTATTTTCATTTCTTTGATGATATTTAAATATATCTGATTTATTCAAATGTTTTTTTTTATCTACTTGGATTTAGTTATTGTTGAAATAATGTTGAGTTCAACGACTGTATAATAACAAACAAATTAAGACATTACTGTTTGCTATAATAATAAAGAAAAAGGTGAGGTGAGGTGTAATTTGCAGCTTATCTTAAATGGCTTAAGGAAAGCGTTATTTAATTAAAAATTTTGCTTAAAGTGCGAGCGTATAATAACTTAAGATAATTTAATTTACAGCTTGAGAGAATTATCTTAAATGGGTTAAGGAAAGCAGCATTTGATTAAATTTTATTTGTTGCATAAAATGCGAACAGATAATACTTGCTTTTATCAAACGAAAGCAGACCAAAAAAAAAAAAACCAAACCTAATCAAAACTCAAACTCAAAACAGACTTCGACCTGCACGTACTTATACACATATTAATTGGAAGCATTGCACTGCAGCTAATGGGCGGGTAACAGATTTTTATTGAAATATCGCAAGGCTAGTCGCAGGTAAGACTGTTTCTTCTGGCGCCGCAGCAATTTGAGGTGTTCGCCTCGCCTGGAAACACTTGGGGCGTTAAATTCCTGGGAACAGCTGTGAGGCAGTCGGTGATTGACAGATGAAATCTGTAAATCATTTTCACACAAAGCTGAAATAGTAGAATAATATATTTATATTATGTTTGCTTGTACCAAGTACTCTTTTATAATAAGCAAATGATAAAAATATATGTATATATCTGGGATATAGTTATCTAATCTTGCACGCCAAAAAAAAAATACAAAACAAAAATTTAGATGTCAGCAGATTAACTCCTGGCTAGGAGAGTATTTCATCTTCGGCATAACACTTTAAAATCTCACAAAGTAATCATTAATTTGCTGAGCAATAAATTACGTTACCCGTTGAAAATAAGAAACAGCTTTATGAATTCGTATATATATATATATATATATTTGTAATAATTCGAGTGTACTTACCCAAATTGACAAATCCATGAGCAGGAAAATCGATCTCAACAGGTGGTGCCACAGTGCCTACAAGCAAAGGCAACCGCAGTGGCTCATTGCAACTGGTCCAAGTCTCCAAATAGTAGGCAATCGCAATGAGCTCACCGGGCAGCTGACTCATAATGGGCGCAGTTAAAGGCAGATGCAGTGCAGCCTTCAAATCGCTGCTCTCATCCAGCACGGTGAGGACCTGCTTTGCTTTCGTCGAGGGTTGCTGGCTCTGATAGGTAATGGATTGACAAAGACGTGTAGTACATGTGGCAGGCGATGTGGCTGCCAATTGGTAGGCAACACGTTGTCCAGGCGCATAGACGGTGCGCGGCAAGCTGAGCTGCAATGTGGCTGTTGCACATTTGGCCGGCTGCAAGTCAGTAAACTCAATGCGATTTCTAATGCACAAGCGCTGCTGAAAGCATTTATCATGCTTGCCACGCCTGTGCAGAGTCACTTGCAGCATGTAGCTTGTCGAACCCAGTGGCAAGCGGCAGCTACCAGGCAAAGCGGATGGCAACTCAAACTCAAAGTTGCAGCATTGCGTGCAGCCCGGCGGCAAAATGACGGCTTCCAAAAGCTGCTGCGATTGCAGCAAGTGTGTCTTGCTGCCTTCAAACTTGAGACAGGCGGTTTCAGTGACCGCTGTGCTGTCATTGTGTTCTACATGTGGCATCAACGTCTGCGCCTCCTGCCAGCAAATTGTGCTGCAGCCAAACAAAGTGATGCTCAGCGCTGCAGAGAGAAGCAGTAGATATCAGGTATCTAATCAGTTCGGTGGAAAGAAAAAGGAGTGCCAAACACCAAATCAACCGACTACGAGGTACTCTGTATGCAACCATAACATATATATTCACCGTTACTTAAAAACCAAATCAATGAAAAATGCGTACAATCTTCATTCTAATTTCAAACGTTCTAAAGTCACTTAAAGTCCCTTCGGTCAATCGACGAAATCTTACAAGCAGACAACAATATATGTATGTATAGTTGATGGAGTCATCAAAGTGTCGTAACGTCTTCATTTGCCCATTTATAAAGGGTGTGTAGTACACGAAAAGTAAACACAGCATATCAATTTCATAGCTGATTAATTACACTCACCTTCAAGCTGTAGGGCCTTCTTCTTGCTGATTGTCAAACTGAAACTGCCCGAAATTTGCTCGCCAGTGTAATAAACCGCTGAAGAGCGCGGCAAATTAAATTTACAATTTATGTGCATCGCTCAAATTACAGGGTATTCACAATAAATTTCTCTAGCTTATTTACGGCACGCGACTAAATTTGAAGTGCGAACTGCTCAGGCGACGAAGTGCGAGTGACAACGACAACCACAACGACATTGACTCAAGTAGCGCCTCGGGAACTTTGTCAATTTGTTGCTTCAATTGTTGACGAAGTGTGCTCTTGGCATCACATAAAGATAAATTCTGTATACGACAGTGCCTAAGCTTACTGAGTTTTATTCATAATTATATCATTATTGCATTCATTATTTTATTCTGTCCCTTGCCTAATCCCAAGTCTCTGATTGTCACTCATTGCTTTTCACAATTGCGCACCAACCTGTTGAGTTGCCAACCTGAATGCAGCTAAAAAAAAAATAAAAACTGGTTCTAATATTTCTGCGCCTGTTTTTCATACAAAAAAAGGAATTTCTTATGTGCGACTAGTGGCATGGCACAAAATGTAGCAAGTGAAAATTAAATTTGCGTATATCGCCCCTATTTAGCAAATTGTCTTTGATAACAGTCTGCGACTAAGCAATACCCTGCTTATCTATTTATTTATTATTTTAAATGCAAAATTCGATAGCCCTTTCTCAAATGCATTAGTAGAGCACAGGCACTCCGATACCCTGCAGTCATTTTTATAAATATGTGTAGTACCCGATCCATAGATACTATGTGCACAGTATACATTTGCGGCTTGTTAAAATCAACTGAGTTAACTTAAGTATTTCAATTTATATTTCAAGGTGTTTATTGCCAAAATACAATCATTAATGTGAATATATATTTACAAACAAGTACTTTACTTACCCAGCCAAATACAAGTTCCAAGTCCAGTCATACCAAGTGGCATGCAAAAATGTATTTCATTATTACTTGTAAAAATAAATAAATAAAAGGCAGAAATTGGGTATACATTTAATATATTTATATAGATTGCTCCTTGTGTTTTTGTTTATTTTGAATTAATTGAAGACAGAGTATTTCGCAAGAGTATATCTGGTTAGACTGGTTTGAAATCGGGGGAAGTATACATGAGTTCGTAATTATAGATTTAGGAATAGATTTAACGATAACTAAAATTAGACAATTTGTATGTACGATGACGATGTGGTAGTAATACAATAGATTTTTATTCAGAATTACATTTAATTAGTTAAGATAGAACATAAAAACAATTTAATTATAATTATAGGTTCTTCGCTAATTGTAGTGTTGTGTAAATTTCTCATAGGCATTATAAATATTGAAAATGTTAAGTTTGTTGTTGGTAAAATTGTGCAAATTGTTATTTATTTTGCTTAAGCCTAAAAGTTGTCTAAATACGTTTTAATTAGGTTTATCATATTATGTGTAAGCATGTATATCGTGTGCTGACGGTGCAAGTACATAAACGGTTTTTTTTTAATCATTGGAAATAAAATTCAAATGAATTCAATTGTTAATTCCAAAGGGAAACGTGAAACTTTATAAAGGAGTGTAAATTAAATCAAAAGGCGGAGTTGCAAAAGAAAGTATTGATAAAAATCAAGTATCACTTTAGAGATTTCAAAGAAACGCCTTTACAAAATATACGCCATATGTAAAACTGTTGTGCATCAATATTTTTTCTTTAGATCAGACTTAAAGCTATATTCGCGCCATGATTTTCGAACGATTTTATAATTATTTTTGAATTGTTTTGATTTTGGTTAAATTGGTGTTATTATTCATCTATGCAGCCATCATTCATTCATTTCTTCTCGCAATTTAGATAACTATCTGTTCCTCGGTTATTCGCATCTTCATCCGTTGCCAAAACCGGTTCCTGCTGCAATGCGAAGCGAAATTGTGTATTTGAGGATTCACTGTAGAGCGTCTCTGTGCGATGTTGAAATCAGGCAAAATGTTGCATGTATATTGGGGAGGGGGGAGCGGTAATAAGAGAACAAATTTGCAATTTAAGTATGTTTGTCAAACCCTCTGGGCTGGCTTAAAGCTATAAGTAAGTTTTGTTCAGAAAAATGCAAATTATTTAATGAAATTGAATAAAGTTAGGATAAACATTTTCCAAATTATATATTAAAATTATATAATAAACTTAATTACTATAATATATGATACTATAATTTTATTTTAAATATATTTTTGAATATAATTTTAAAATGTTTAATGAATAAAAACAGCAACAGAGCATACATACTTATTATTGATATATGATTTCATATAGATTTTGAATATACAATACATTTATATTTATATAAATTACACGTGCAATATAAAATTTGATTTTATGGAATAAAAAGTATTCAATATGCTCTGCAAAGCATTGAGTTGCTTAAAATATGAATGTTTTAGGAAGCAGAACGCACGACGGGGCTTTCCCTATGTATGCAGAACAAGAAGTTAAAAATCCTTCTTTTAGAAATCAGTTCAATTTTAGTTAAACAAAATCAAAAATTCCTTCAGACCAAAATCTACCGAATATTTAGATTTTGGATGCTTAATCCCTATCAAATTAGTAGATATTTAAATGTTTTCTGCGGACAATTGTTTTAGTATTTATAGTATCAGATACAAAGCAAACATCGCCTCAAATATCGGACAGGGTTAAGGCATCATATTTAAGCTCAACACTTTGCAGTACTTAAGCTTATATAAAAATTGTGAACTAACTACTTGAAATTAAGAGGAATAAAATAAACAAATTGGAATAAAATGCCACTCAGCCATTCAATTTGTTTTTGTTTTTCAATAAGTTTTGCTTTGCATTGGTATTTTTTTTTCTTTTTTAAAGTCTGTTTTTTTTTTTTGGTAACAATTTGGGTTTATGTGTCGGATTCAGTGGAATCATCACTACCGGGCGGTATGGTCGGTGTCTCATATTCGTAATAGACCGGGTAACGCGGTTTAAAGGGCTCACGCTCACTTGTTACATCGCCCTGAGCGGACATAATGCTGCTCATGCTAACATTTGTCAAGAATTCAATGTCATCACTAAATTTCTCGCTCAGAGCCATGGCATCTTCATACGAGGGCGGCACTGTAAATGTAAATAAAGAATATATATATGTATATATATATATATATGTTAGAAATAGAGTTAATTGCAGAGTTATTTTCAATACGAAAATGAAAATATCTTCACATAAATCAAATATTGCAACAATCAATCAAGAAAATAACTTGAAAAATATATCTGCAATGGTTTACAATATGAAAACACTTCGCTTACTCATGGGTATATAATCTGGGGGACTATCACTATCGTTTGTCACTAATATCGCTGGCATGGCGGCCATGGGCCTTAGGGCGGCAGTCGTTGGCGTTGACGAGGGACTCGTGTGGCTCAGCAATGTTGCACCAGAACGTTGCATTGCCTGATTGTTGCTATTGCTGTTGTTGTTGTTGCTGTTATTTTGTTGGCGTCGCTGTTCGGGCCGCGGCCTTTGGGTCTGTTGCGTGGACAATTGTAAATGTTGGCTAACTACTTGATGCTGCTGCTGCTGCCGATTGAAACGCAACACGGCATCGGGTCCATCCATGATGGGTATGCTACCGATGGTTAGCGGTATTTTGAGTTTCAGCTTCCAGTGGAACTCGGTTGGATTCACAATAATCTTAATCGAATAGTTAACGCTAATTGGGCAGGTCGGCTTCACCGATGTCGGCGGTATCGAGGGCAGATCCAAATAGCCTCGATACACCTTTCGCGACCAGCGCAGCACATTGCCGAACTGCTTTAAGGCAATCAGATGCTTATCATAGCGATACTCGTGCTGCGGATCGTGCGATTCGTAGCTGACTTCCTGTTTCAGCTTCACCTCGCATTCGGTTATGTCGATCGACGACTCGTTGTTGATATATAGCACGAAATGGATCTTCTGGCCGGGCGCGTATCCGCAGTACGGCGTCGAGAATTTAACAGTTAGCGGCCCCGTAGGACAGCAAAAGCTCCAGAAACGCTTACGATCGAGTATTTCGAGCGGCACCTAAAAATATATATATATTTACAATATTAGTTGTTTTGTTCTGCTAAGATTAAGAAACGATTTTAAAATAGAAAAAAAGCTGATCATTTTGAAAGAACAATGTGAAACGATTGATAAAAGTCAATTAGATTCCTCGAGTAACCTTTGTACTTACTCTGTAGATGGCATCGGCATTTAGGTCCAAAGGTTGTATCACGGTAAATGGCAGCTTGAACACTTTCGGATAGCGACCCGAACGCTCGATCGTCGTTATGATCTCGTAGTGTATCTGGCCATACTTGCCATCAAAGGATGTAGGCAGATTGTCGGGCAGTATGACATGAAACGTGTACGAGTACTCGCCAGCCAGCCAGTCGATGCACGAGTTCCCAGCACACGAGCCGAGGACGTACGATCTCGATGACAAATATGATCGATAGGCACGGCACATGGCGCGTTCGCTGTCCCGCGGATATCCCTTTTTTATCCAGCGTATCTTAGCATAACCGCTAACGGTGACATGAATGCCTAAAAGAGAGAAACAAATAAAAATACTCTTAAAGTCCGGTATATGATACTGAAAAATCGGATTAATTTCAAATTAAAAACATTACTGCATTTATAAACAAAGTACAGGAATAAGGAATGTAAATAAGGAAATATTTAATTATTACATTTTGTTTATTTGTTTACATATTTCTGTATAGTTTTATTTCAAATGTAACCGACAAAGTATCTTATTCACAGCACTTATTAAGTTGTTCAAATTCTAGTGAAATAATATCGTAAATTTCCACATTATCCACACTCCTCGCACAGTTTTCCCTCGCTCCCCTCTCTGACCTAATCGTGTAGAATGTCAGACAACACAACTTATTACCACAAAATTAAAATGCACTGCACACGGACAACTTTATCGTCATCATGAACAGCAACAAAAACAAATGAAATACAAAAAAAACGTGGATTGCACTTACCACGCCTTAAACGAGTTCATGGATAAATAAAAATGGCGGCATGCCAAAACAGACGCCACACAAATTGACAACAGCAACAACAGCAACAAAAACCGAGTGGAAAACGAAAACAAAAAAAATAATAATAATAAGAAGAAAAAAATAGCTAGCCTCTAACTGTGCAGAGCAAAAGGAACTGTAACGAGCTGGTCAACTCAGCAGGGACATGCGACAGGAACAAAAAAAAAAAAAGCAATAAAAAAAGTAAAAACATCAGCAGCAACAATTAATTGCATAGCACATTCAAAATGGCGACAAATATTTGGGGAGGTTTGGTATTGGTGGGCTGCAGATACAATTTAATGGGAAAAACAAGCGCGTGTCCTTCGACAATTTAAATGTAGATTGCGGTGCAAATTCGGTGTACAATGTGAACACAGACTTTATTACTCATACGCCCAGTAAGTGAGTCATGTGTGAAGTGAGGAGAGAGAGTGGAGAGAGGAGAGAGGAGAGAGGAGGCATGACATACCTTTAATGCGCTTGTTGGCATCGACGCTAAGATCAACAACGCCAGATAGCTCCTGTCCGGCATAGTAGACACCTTGTGGATTATTATCAAATGATATAAGGCACTCAATGGGCATATATTGCTATATAGTTTGCGTGTGTGTATCTGTGTGTGTATTTTTTTTATTTTATTATTTTTTTTTTTGTTATACTGTGCTAAAATCAGGCGACAGTATTATAAAAATATCACGTTCGTTTTGTTTTGTTTTGTTTTGTGTGTTTCCAATTGAAATTGAAATGTTAAATATTTGTTTGCCTATCAAGCCATTTGATTTGTTTGGTTTTTGCTTTTGCTGCCGCACTGCATTTTTTCACTGCTGCCCCGCCGCATACACACATGCAGCCAACGTCTGCAACGCTTTTTTCACTACTGAAACGCTTTTCACGACCGACCTCCAAAATTAATACGAGAAAAGCTTCTCTCTGACTCGTTGTTGTTGTTGTTGTTGTTAACCTAGTTTTGCGAAAACGAAAACGATTTATGCACGCACAGACAACAACTAATAATAATAACAGTGTGGCTATAAATAACTGTAATTAAGATTGCCTTTTCAACTTTTTCCTTTTTTTTTCTTTTCGGAATTCAACTTATTTTTGTATTTGCCACGCTTCAGCCTTTCTCTATTAATTCTCGCTTGCGCTCCGCACTCGTTTCGCCGCTTTGCTTTCGCACACGTCCAGCAGCCGCTCGTGTTGGAATTGTTCTGTTCTCATTCGCAAGCCAGCCATACAGGACGACCGACCGACCGCCAACAGCGGCGGAAGTCACGAAAGCGAACAACGAACAAAAACAACAATGCGCGCTCGCTCGCTTTCTGGAGAGAGAAAGAGAGAGAGAGAGACACAAATGCACATACAAACGTAAATCAGTGCGAATTGTTTTTGTTCACATCTGGCGATTTGTTTGGTCGCAGAGCTGTCAAGTTGCTTAAATTAAATTTAAATCTGTCTTAATTGCAGTCGTTGTCGTTAAAAACATTTATGAAGTGAACTACGAAAAGTAGGAGTCAGTGTTGTCTCAACTGTTGAGCAACAGCGACTTACCGCTTTTAGTATTTTTTAATCTCCTTTAGCCAGCAATTTCGAACAGTCTGGCAACGCTGTAAGCTGCTGTAAACAGCTGTTTAGCACTGATTACAAAACAAAAAGTTGTGGATTTACAATGGAATTTAAGTTTAAACAAGTACGTGGCTGTTGCTCTAACTAACATCCAAGCACTAACTAATTAATTACACAACCTAACAAACAGTGATACTGCTGCAAATCGTGCGCAAAATGAGCCAAGCGACGGCATCCATTGAGCAACTTTCGGGTGAGCATTTTTTTAATTTTGCAATCAGAAATAAAAATAAAATATATTGAAAATAAACGTTTAGCGTTGCGCGTGAAATACAATGAGCGCAAGGATGTTTTTCTGGAGCAGAATATTAAGATCAAGGACCCATTTTGCGTATTTCGCGACTGGATGAACGATGCGCTGAATACGAAGGAGATCATTGAGCCAAATGCCGCCGCTTTGGCCACAGTGGATGCGGCGGGGAAACCCTCGAATCGATTTGTCCTGGTGAAGGAGGCCTCCGCCGAGGGCTTCACTTTCTTCACCAACTACGAAAGCCGCAAGGCCGAGGACATTGCATCCAATTCGAATGTGGCAATTGCCATCTATTGGATGCCCCTGCGCCGCAGCGTTCGCATCGAGGGCATCGCCGAGAAGATACCGCATCAGGCGTCCCTCAAATATTTCCATGAGCGACCACGCGCCAGTCAAATTGGTGCGGCTGCCAGTCCGCAGAGTAAGCGCATCCCGTCACGCAGCTACCTGGACGAGGTGGAGACGGGCATCAAGCAGAAACTGGGCCCAGACGGCGAGGTGCCGCTGCCCAATTGGGGTGGCTACCTGGTGCGACCTTCGACCATCGAGTTCTGGCAGGGACAAACGGATCGCTTGCACGATCGCATCCGCTTTCGACGTGGTCCAGCAGTCGCCGCTGAAGTCGATGGCAAGCTGGTGCACCAAGGCGACAATGGTTGGGTCTATGAGCGTTTGGCGCCCTAAACGCAGCCAAACTGAAGAACTGAAAATGAATTGTGTACTGAGTGCATTTGTTATGTCTTCCAAAAAAGCATCTTTGTTATAAAAATTGTCAAAACTGATTTTAAAAGGAGTGGGGAATATAGAATGTGAAGAACGAGTAGAAATAAATATTAGATTTGGAGAAAAATTATGTGTTTGTATTTCGCATATAATTCGCTCTTATCTGCACATTATGTAATCCTTAAGTATATTTCATATAATCACAGAAAATGATGTGTTTACAGAATGATAGTACTTGTCATCTACAAAATAACTTAATTAGTTAATTCAACAAACTTATTTACAGACAATAATAGTTGAGGATTTCTCCTCGCTTTACTGAAAAAGTGTCATACTTATTATATTATATATTATTATTGATATATGTACGTTTAGAAGTACATTACTATTCGCGTGTTGACTAAATAATTGTTTATTCTCAGGTTAAATTCACAAACATTACTATTATTGTTATTACTATTATTAATATAATGAATATTACTAATCGTATTGCTATTATTATTATTATTATCATTATTGTACATTACTGTTATATGTCTAGATATGACTAGAATACCTATTTCCGTGTTGACTAAATAATTGTTTATTTTCAGGTTAAATTCACAAATATTATTATTATTATTACTATCAATATTATTACCATTATTATTATTACTTTTACCATTGTTATGTGTTATTATTACTGTCGACCGAATAATTGTTTATTCTCAGGCTTACGTAGTAAATTCGGTTTTATTTATCAGAATCAATTTATACAAAATCGGTATACCTTTTGCAGGTACTTTTATAGATTTTATAATATTTTGGCTAAATTCGTTTGAGGCGTGTGAATATCAATCGATGGTGCTGTTGCCAGCTCTGAGGCAGCGGCTGCGGGGTGTCGCATTCTCGAATCGTTCGCAGACATTGCCCCGTTGCCGACCGTGTTTGAGGCGCCACAACGCATCCGAGCCGATGGATGACCAGAGGCAGAATGTGATACGGGAACCGTATTGTATACTGAGACAGTGGCTATCGGTGGCATCGCATGTGGCGCCGGCGTCGCAACCACGTTGCGCCTGCCTGGCCACCGTGGATGCGGCGGGGCAGCCCGCCACGCGAATGACCAACGTCCGGCAGATTAATGCCGCCGGGCTGACGTTCTACACGACGCTGGGCAGTCGTGTGGCGGGCAAGATCGACAACAATCCGCATGTGTCGTTGCAGTTCCACTGGCCGCAATTGAGGCGCAGCGTCCACGTCTCGGGCACTGTCAGTGACGTCAGTGCTCTGCGGTCACAGCTCCAGTTCGCCCGCTATCCGCGCGAGGTGCAGCTCGGCATGCATGGCATTTGGGCGAGCGAGAAACGTTCCCTGTGCAGCCGGATCATGGACTATCTGGCTGGGATATCTGTCAGCGCGCCGGCGCCGGAGGAGCCGTTGCCCTTGCCTTGGAACTGGGGCGGTTTCCTGCTCCAGCCGTCGCTCTATGAGTTCTGGCACGACAACTGTGATGCGTCGAGCAGGAGGTGCATGCGATTTCAGCGCTGCCTCACGTTGCCACGTGTAAGTCGAATTTTTGTTGTTGTTGTTGCAAGGATTTGTTTGATTCCATTTTCTGTTGCAGGGCAGGCGATATCGAGTCGTCAATGCGAATCGTTATGATTGGGTTTTCGACAGCTTCGTTGAGTACGGGTCCTAAGAATTTGTTTTTTATTTTCAAAATCTTATTAAATTAAATTTCTTTGTGCGAAAATGCAATCTTTTTTTTTAAATTTCAGATTAGACGAGTTTTTTTATTGATTTGTCTTTATTCGGGTTGCTGTCTTGGATAAACTGCATTAAGCAGTGACAACTTCGGCGTACTTTTAGGCGCACACGACCAGAGAGAAAGACGGATCAAGCTCGGGTTGGAAACACGATCAATCTTACGATATTACGTACATTGGGTTTTAGTATTGGATAAATTACACATGAGCAGACAAATATTCGGCATACTTTTAGGGGCGCACGAGTAAAGACAAAAAACGGCAAGATCCTTAACGATATTTAAAGGATAATATATAATAAATTAAAGCTACCTCTGATGCACAATACAGACAGACAAATGATATCCTATGTAATCTTTACTAAGAGTTCAGATGGCTTGTTCAATCCATAATCTAAAATTTGAGTAACCATAACCAATATAATTATAGTTTAAATGGCAACTTTGACTTTCACTAAAGAACATATATAAGCAAGAAATATGTTGCTTTAATTTGAAGCTTAAGTATCTTTGGTAAGGTGAAGGTTAGGCCAGCATAATTTAATCAAAAGTTGTGCAAAAACAAGACATATTTTGCTGTGGGGCTAAATCTGCTTTTGAATATTAACTGACATTCAGAATGATTTCGCTGCGAGTGCAACAAATGAAAAGCAAACAAACAAACATTTCGTCATTTGAAATGTAATACAATAAAGACTCCAAGGTACCAGCGCACACACACACACACACACAGAGCATAGCCGGCGCAAGCTTTCTTGGCGAACTGCAGCCAAGCGTAAAGAGTAATGCCCGACGGGATATGTTAGTCGAGAAAACAACAAGAGTAAGAATATCAATGACAACAACAAGGCTGCCTATCCCCAAAGTCGACGGCTAAGTAAATAACGAAAGCCAAAGCAAAGCGCAATACCGGAAAAGTTAACAACAAGAATAAAAAAATAAAAAAGCTTAACCCAAACTGACAGAGCAGCAACTTGTGACTCGTTGTGCACCCGTATTGCCATTGCCTTGGGGTCTTAAGCTCGCTCGCCCGCTCTCTCTCTCTCTCTCTCTCTCTCTGTCTCTCTCTCTCTCACTCTCTTGCATGTGGATACTACGGTTTACTTTGTTGTCATCTACACTATGCCTACAGTTCCGTTTTCCGTACTTTTGTTTTGCTCGCTTCATTTGTATCGGTGCGAGCTTCGCTTTGCTGTTCGCTTTCAAAGCTTCTTGTTGGTGAGATAGACTTGGGCTTGGGGTTTGTTTTCCTACGAGAAAGTTTCGCAAAGACAGAGAGCACCAAAACTTGTTGGTTGAAGGCTATTGTGCTCTCATCGTGCAGAGTTGTCGAAAGCTCTGAAACCTGCGCTCAATTCATATTTGCTTATTCACATTTTTTTGTAAGCCAACATTTAAAATTTTCTTTTGTTTGTTGTAATTTTGAATGACTTAGGATCAACTTTTATTTTATATTTGTTTATCTGCAGATTGCAAGTGATTTGTGTGCTAAGCTTTCATGTGGTGCATCTGACAACCCAGCGAGGATAACGCCACCCACTGCTTGTGTTAGCAGGCCAAACTCTACGCCGTTCTCGCTGGCCGCCAGCAATGAGGGTTGCCGTCTCGTTCAGTACGCCGTGCGGCTTAGACTTAGCTCGCTGTTCGTAGTCCTGCTCCAGCGGATAGAAATAAGAGCAAAGTAAAAATTCAACAATAATTTCCAGCGGCATCGCTTTTTTATATATTCCTTTTTTTTAAAGAAATTAAACAATAACTATTCAATTAAAATATGTAAGTGTGACTGTGAAATGTTTAATGTTTTACTACGTACAATTTATGTTTCTAAAAGTGAGTGTGTATTAGTTAAATGGCTTTTTCCAATACAAAAAAAAAAAAACCAAAACAAAAAACTAGTTAGTGTTGCTTTATTAAATCTATAATATATATACACATATATATTTACTCAATATACGTATATTAAAGTTAATGTGCAGACACTTTTTGTCAAATTTATTGTTATTGCAATAAGCGCGTAAATTTATACACTTTACCTAGAATAGCGATCAACAATTTATAAATGATATTAACGTAATTTAATAAGCACAAGCAACGAAAATAATAACTGTCAGTTAAAACAGTTAAAACAGTTAAACAGGAAATGGGAGGCGTGCCATGAGAAACTGTTGTCTGTGTGTGCGTGCCTGTGTGTGCGTGTCTGTATGTGTGTGTGTGCGCGTGCAGAATATTTTACATAAGCAGCGCAGCATGGGAAGCAACGGGAACAGTGGCATCAACAGCAGCAGCAGAGCAAACGGCCACCTGCGGCTAATTGGCGGCTACCCTACAAAGGGTTCTTTTATATAACTGTAAGCGCCATGGCCCCGGCAACGTGACGGCTAAAAACGTAAAGCGTTCAACGTGAAAAGTGAAACGTGCAATGTGAAACTTGCCTGCAAGCATGCGAAAGTCTTTTACAAAGCAACAGCAGCAACAGCAACAGCAACAACAATAACAATAACAACAACAATAACAACAACAATAACAACAACGAACTGAGAGCTAAACAATGTCCAACTTCTTGAAGCCCAACACGCTGCACGTGGACAGCCTGAGTCCGCGACATCGCAGTCTGAGCAGCGGCCTCAGCAGCGGCCTGAGCAGCGCCTGTAGTTCGGGCAGCGTCTCGCCCGTGCCCATCATTCCGATCATTGCGATAAGCCGCATTCGCGATGGTGACGAGTCCGAGTCTGAGTCGGAAATTGAATTGGAACCGGCCCGCATATTTCATCGACGCATGTCCATCAACAACAGTGGCAACAACAAGCGCAGCACCAATCTGGTAATTATCCTTTGGACGTGTGTCAAATTTTTGCTATTGAAAATCACATTTATAGACATATTGTTAAACTAACAATAAGTTGATCTGTGAGCTTGGAAACATTCTGGAAGCAAGAAAATATGGGCACTTACGAAATATTATTATTAAGTGGAATGATCTTTAAAAGAAAATAAGCACGACAATTATCAAAGTATGAATTTGGCTCTGTTTTTATTATCCTGTTAGGACTTTCGCTTCGCGTCTATGGACTGTGACGATGCAGTGGAGCGCGACAGCAGCAAAAATTTCTGGAGCGGAAGTTACATGCCCTGCCATGCGAACGCACTCATGAGTAGGAGTGGGAGGGGGCTAGGGGTTGGTGGTTGGGGGTTGGGGGTTGGGGGATGTATGAGGTACTGTCCGTTGCTGGTATTTGTTGGAGTCCTTGTGCTCTTGAAAAGGTCAGCTCGCAGTTGTTAGGTTCAAGTGGTTAGTAAATATTTTAATAGTCGCATAAGCAAACGTGCTCCAACTGTTATGGGATATAGTACATAGTCTGGCCATAATAGGGAATGGCTCAACGAATCTATGAAGAACACTTGCTCAACTTAAGCGAACTGTGACTAATGATTTGCCAAATCAAAAATATGGCATTTTTAGTTAGAATCATTACTATTTAATCAAATGTTTTTCTACATTTTTTAAGGTTGTTTTTTTTTTTATATATAAAAATGAGATAAGAATTGTGCATATTTATTAGCAACAACCAAAATATTTCTTCTTGAAAGATCCCTTTTTAATTATATTTTCAAATATCTTTAGCATGTAATTACACACCCGAGCGAAAGGAAAAAATAAAACAAATTAATTAGCGCGAGACAAAGAGCAGGAACCCCAACAAATTATCTAAAAATCATGTCCTTATATTTTTTAATTAAAAGTAACCATAGTTGCAAAGTCGAAAGCGTAAAAGGGAAGAAAAGGCCAGGGAAAATGCGAAAGCTTGTAAATGCAACAGGGGCCGCATTTGAAACCAAACGCCTTAATTAAGTTATTCCATTTTTCCAACAGTCCTTGTCTCTTCTCTATGCATTGCCATTCGTCAGGCGGACATCGCGACGTATGTACAATATGACCATGTGATGTTAATCATACGCATCGTTGCACCTTCCACTTGGGGATTAGGTTGTTGTGTTCCTTTTAAAGCTCCATAGATATTGCTATGCTCGAACTAAATAGAAGAGTGTATTTATAATTTATAATTGGAATACACGCAATAATAATCAAATATTTATTATAAATGGCCCACTGAAAACCCTTTTAAATTTCTCATGGGTTTTCCCATTTGCCCGCCGCAATTTGTACTGAAATTGAGCGCATTTATCACTCGGCTTGGCTGCCTGGCAAGTAACAGTCGTAATCTATTTGTTTTCATTTCCCCATTTTGTTTTGAACCCACAAAGTACATTAGCCTGATTGTGACAAGCTGCAGCCAAGTGCCCCATAAGCGGAGCCATGCCCTATACTACTCTATACTAAATGAATTCAATGTGAGTGCTTTTTTCTTTTTTACATATGTCAAACCAGAAAACAATGAGCGACGCTAAACAATAGCTCCTTAATGTCTGATGGTCGCGTGTGCCGCCAAGAACAACAGCAACAGCAACAACAAAATCAACAACAACAGCGAATATAAAGCAAACTCCCATGCAGACATTTATACAGATACACACACACATACACACACACACACACTTATGCAGCTATATGTATCTGGCCAAGGACATGACAATTGACGATAATTGTGTAGAAGACTCGCAGGTGGTAGAAACCAATTACGCATTGCGCTTACCAATATATATATATATATATATATATATATATATATATACATATATTTTTAGCTTTATCATTTTGATCTGTTCTTAAATGTTTTTTTTTTAAATATTTAAAATATGTTTTTAATATATTTATATTTTAACTATATTTTAAGCACTATTTTAAAAGAAATTGTATTTTAATTTTAAATTTAATCACATAATAAATAATATATCTCTCTGTACTAATTTTGAGATGGCAGCCAGTAGCAAAGGCTAATGTGTTTTGAAAGGTTTCGATTAAAGCTCAAAAAATCGTATACTGTTAATCATGAGAATCCAGTCCTGAATCTTAACTTAACTTCTCCCTGTCATTGTCTGTTAGCGCTGCTGCTGTCTCTGATTCACTCTCAACCATTGAAAACAAAGGAAAACAATAATAAAACAACAGCATTAGCCGCCTTTCGGCTTCAAAAGTCATTTTATTGTTGCCGTACATTGTCTGCTACTTGTAGACTTGCCGCAGTATCATCAAGATATATACACATGAGTCTCAGACCCAGCCACAGCCACAGCCACATGAGAAACACTTACATATTTATGTATGTCGGTTTCTATGTATGTTGTCTGGCTTTGTGTGTGTGTGAGTGGATTGCATAGGAAACTTTGGCGCCGTCTAAAATATTTACGACTATTTACACAGCCAATTGGCTGCGCCTCGGCTCAGCTCTGCTCACGTGACTGCAAACGCAATTTCATATATAATTTCCAGCCCGACATATAATTTAATGTTACGCTTTGTCTTTCCCATTCGTAAATAATACGAAAAGTCCAATAACAGTGCGAAACAGTGGAAGTGGAAGCTTATAATAAATAACGCAGCAAAGCGTAAGTTGAAATAATCAAAGCGAGCCATCGAAACAGTCGCAAGTCGAGCGAAAAGAGGGCGTAGAAATGTTTACGTTATGCTTACGTTCTACACACAATATACACACACACATATGCCTATATATATATATATATAGGTGTGTAGGTGTGACAATACCCTCATCGTAACTGTATCTATATCAGTGTATCTGTGGCAGGCACCGGCGATTATTTTTCTTGGCCGGCTTAACTTAAAATCAATAACCGGCTAGCGAAAATTTCAAATACGTTTATCATCATCATAAGGCTCGTTGCGTTTTTTTTTTACCCCCCTTGACACCATGACGTATACGTGATGTTGCCTGATTTGGCCCATGATAGCCCATTGTGTGCGTGGCCAATGAAAAATGATTGATGGATGTGAGCTGATCTGAAACGAAAGTCAGGAAAACTTTGATTCTTAGTTAAACTAAACAGGCCAGCAAAATTAAAGACAAAGAAGAGAGAGAGAGAGAGAGAGAGAGAGAGAGAGACAGAGAGAGAGATAGGGAGAGAGAGGGGGAATACGGCTCACATCAATATTAACTTTACGATTTCACTTGCTGAATGCCGCATAAATTTGGAGTTCATTCAACCCTCTTTTGAGTTATTCCTGTTGACATCTAATAATAAGCTCTCAGAATATAATAATTGGAATTCATATTTTTTATTATAAATTCCACCAATATATCAACGAAATTGGAATGCATAAAGCCCTCAAGAAATGGCTTCAACAATAAAAAGTTATGGGCAATCAACTTTTAACATAGAGCAAAAACAGAAAAAAATTCGAATGGAATAACGAAAGCTTCAAATGGATGCGGACAAACAGAGCGAAAATAAAATGAAGTCGGATGAAATTTGTAACAACAGCAACACAGGACACTTAAGTACAGAAGTTGTTGACACATTTATATCTTAATGTTCGACACTCATTAGGAAATCTTACAGTAGGTCACAACTGTTTAAGAAGCTTACATTTTTATTTTTCATTTTTTGGTATTCATTTATTGAACATTATTTAAACTGAAATCACAGCACATTCATAGAATAGCACAAAACATTTCTTTGTGGTGTTTACAATATTCAAGTATTTATCATGGTCAAAACGCTTTTTAAAGCAATCATGTCAAGCGTTTGAGCAGCTTGTAGACCAAGGCCAAACGGAAACTTGAATGCAGCAAAGCAATCATTTCCGTTTCCTCTTGGTGCGACGGAGAAAGACATAAAAACAAAATTGTGCAGCATTTTAGATACTTTGTACAGTAATTGCATTGACTGATCTTATTAGGAGCCAAGTTTCCGTTCGCGATGGCAAAAAAAAAATGCATTGGCCTTTGAAATAAAATTGAATTTTGATTGCGTGTCGTAAGTGGGCATCAAAAATGTGATCAAATTGTAATCAAAAACATTTATTTGCCAATATAATTGAACATGACTCAGTGTGAATTGTGAATAGCAGTTCGCTTGACGCTAACTCGCACTTTCATAATCAGAGAACAAACAAAAAATGCATGCGCAGCTAAATCAAATAATAGACTGGTCACCGAGGTGACGATGTGCCATTTTATGTGTGTGTGTCCGTGTGTGTGTGTGTGTGTGTGTGTGTGTGTGTGTGGCACATTGTGATTGTCCTTTGTTTGCACAATTGATTGCCAGCCGTGTGGACGCCACACCCAGCTGCTTTTGTTATCCTGCAGCCAATTAATGTTGACAGACCGTTGGAGAATTGCAAGTGTGACGTGTCCGCCATGTGTCAACTGTTCTGTGGCTTGTCTTGACTTGACTTCAACTTGGAACTGCACTCTATTTTCTTGGCCAATCAGATTCAATTGTATTCTAATTGCTTGGCCAATTTGATTGAGGGTTTTCGGTGTCTTTATTTGCACTGACTTTGATTACCTGCTCTGTTTACTTTCATGTCTAGGCGTCCATTATCAAGGAGGGCTATCTGCTGAAGCACACTTGGTCCTTTCAACGCTGGCGTCGACGCTATTTTCGCTTGAAGCGTAATCATCTATATTATGCCAAGGATGCTAAGGTAAGCTGTTTATTAATATTATTTACATATTTCTAGATAATTTTTGCATAACCGAAATTAAGAACTGTGTACGAACTGTGTACGTTATCCATTATATAAGATCTCATCCACATATTAAACACATTCTGCTTTCCAACTTTAAATTCACACACGCCGTTGCGTTGGCAACAAAGTAGGTCAAAACACATTTAAGCTCTCTGCGAGCTGCATTCTCCGGCCTGTGCGTCCTTCGTAAATAAAAAAAAAAACCGAACAGAACATATCCATTAATGGCATACATAGTACTAATTTCCAATTGTGCAGCTGCTCCACGTGCCGTATACGTAACATAGTTGCATTCGTCCCTTGGGGAAGGGGGTTAGGGGACTTAAAATTCGTTAGCTGCGGCTTATGCGATATCCTGGCAAAAAGGAAGCACTGCAAATGCCATTAGCAAGAAACGAAAGTGCACAGTTTGTCATTGATTGATTCCAGAACGTCTGGCTGAGCTGGCCTTTTACATTTGCCTGCCTCATTCGACGTTTCCAAATTGCCACAGGATAGAATTACGAAACGAAATTACCGCGAGTTGGAGGCAAACAATGGCAAAGGGCAACCAAGCAGCCAGGCTGGCAGCAGGGAGGCATCCACAAGTGGGGAAACTTCAGGTGACAGATGCGCTGGCTGTCAGCCAAATTGGTTAATTGCGTGCTCTGTGCATCAAAAAGAAATGCCTTTTAAAAACAATATAATGTAATCGGCCGCCCCAAATTGCGTGAAAAGTTTCAATATGCAACACACGCAAAATAAGTTGACTCTTGTGGCGTTAGGTTACCCGCCAACAATATCATTAAATGCTTTTAGTACCTCGAACGCGACTCCAATTTCAATGTGTTGAATTGATGCCTAATTGTTAATTTGTTTGCCCAAGACATTAATCAACATAACGAAGCTAATTAGCAGACAAATCTACTAGATACTGACACTGGATACCCTGTTGCCATTTACTCGATTTGCCCATTGTTAGCTGTCCCTCAGTTCAGCCAGTTTAGCAGTTGGTCAAATGAGGGGGGTAGTCATCAATGCAATGTTCATGGTTTGTCAGCAGCCGCCTGTTGCCCATATTGGCGGGAGGTTGCTTGGTAGGCGTAATGTCTGCTGCCTACAGGAGATGCCAGACTAATTATACAAAGACAATGGGCAGCAAACAGTTTGGCAGTAACTTGCCAAATTTTCACAACACAGAAAATGATTGTAATAGACATTAATTGTGTTTAGGAAAAGTTATACTCTACTATACAGTGTATATAAAATATCGAACTGAAAAGGTAGTTATACTTAATTGTGTTTTATAACTGCTTTATTCAACATATATTGCTTCTTATTTTATGGTTCAAGAATTCTGTTTTACGGACGAATAGTTTATGAGAGCATTCCCTTGAAAATATCCTGAAATGAAAACGCCTGTCTCTCGACATCAACAAAGCACTTAGTTGTCATATTGCCCTTAATTGTAATTGATTTTCGCTTCACCTGTCGTATGAATTACGACTGTCTGCGAGCATTTCTGATTTTAATGGGATTGCACTGAACGATAACAAAGTAAGCATTCACAAAGATTGCGAGAGCTCTTTTTAAATTGCATTGATTCGAAAATAGAAATATATGCTGATGTCAAACAGAAGTGCGTCATTAAATATCAAAATATTGCGCATACGTCATGTGAACAATGCGTCTCTGTTATCGTTTGCCAAGTTAGTGCGTGTTTGTCGTAAGACATGTGAGTTATATGATTGAATGATGTGATATGCAATATTTTTGCATGTACGCAGATGATGCAAATGTCATGTAATAAATGAATATGTAAGCTCCTCACTCATGAAAAACTACAAAGCTAGAAGCCCACATAAGTACTTTTAAATGGTTGATTGATTACCGCATGCAATATATTTATTTATGAAAATTGCACAAGCCTCTACGTTCAATTAAACAAGAACAAGTTATATATCATGGCATTGCATTTAGGTTTTAATTGTAATTGGACAACTAAGGTTGAAATTAAATTTCTTCGAATTCCCAATGGCGTTGGTGGTATTTATATAATTGAAGAAATGAAAACTCACATTGTTAATTTTACATTTTAGATTTTAATTTAGGTAAGTTATAAAACCAAGCTTGGCTTAAAGCGCCTGCTCTTTTTATGGCAACAAAACAAATAGATTGAGTGCGACGCTATATTAAAGGGTTAATATGGTCTGGCAAACAATTTGAAAACCGGCAGCAACTGCAGACAGCGGTGCTGCGACCCCCAAGTACTTAGAAACTCATTAAACGTAGGCACGAAATTTTCATTATAATTACGCATACACCATGTTGTACCATGCCACAGTGCCGAGTTGCTTAAATGGTTGGTAATTTGTTGCTTAGCGCTCGTTTTTATCTTCATCTTGGCAATGCGAGTGCAAGTGTAAAACTACACAAGCACGAACGAAAAAAGACCCTTGCCGGCAATGGCAATGGCTAAGCCTTCGCCCAAGGAGTAAAACCCGAAAAAGGATATACAAAAAAAAAAAAAGTCGACACACAAAGCGGACAGACAGAAAGAACAGATATAATGAGAATGATGAGCGATGGCAGGTTCCACTGAAATGACATTGATGTTGATGTTGATGTTCATGTTGATGATGGTGTTCGCCATCGTAAAAGCGCAAATATTTGTTTGCATTGCTTTCGTTCCTTTTTAGCCCAAAGCTGCTGCTGCTGCTGCTGCTACTGCTACTGCTGCTGCTGCTGCTGCTGCTGTTGCTACTGCTACTGCTGGTGCGGTTTCATCTTCTGCTTATGCTACTGCTGCTTTTTCTTCTTCTTAAGTAACATCGCACGCGACACGCGACCGGAGCCATAAGAACAACAACAGCATTTCCATATTCACCACAGTTGTAAATTGTATAACATGTGCGCGATTCGGCTTGTTTGTGTGTGTGGGTTTTTGTTTTGACACGTAAAAGCTGCTCTGCTGCTGCTGAGAGCGCCAGGACAAAAAGCTTTCGACCAACAGTGTTGCCAGACTTCGCAGTGCACTCAGAAAAATATTAGCAGGAGGTAAATCGACAAATTACATTTTTTAATTGAGTTTAGCAATAATTTAAATTACATAATAACACATCACATTCAATCAATTCAGATAAAGTATGAATTTTGATTTTGGTTTTTTAAAAATACATACATAAAATAAATTGCAGTCTTTAAAAATCACAAACTATTATAGCATGCTTAGCCACATTATTCCTGTTGCATTCGATATTACTCGAGTTAACCGAAGTGTTCTTCAAGTGTAGGCCACTTCAGTTGAGAAAGCTTTCTGGGGAGCCCTTGAGCAGCCCTGCTACTCTCTTGTTCACCTGTAAATATTTGTATCCTTCCAACACCACCGGGTGGGCAGAGACTGCTGCTCAGCCAGCCTGTCTGTGGTGAGTTTCAGTTGGCCGCCAATAAAAGCAACTGTCACGCCGAAGACGAGCTCAGTGCAAACTCAACAAAGCAACGTGGAACAACACTCATTTAAGTAACAGCCGAAACCGCAGTCAAAACAAAAAAGCATAATAATCTAACAAATTTTAAATAATAATAACTTAAATAAAGGACCTATAAGCAATCACTAATCATTATTTCAACTAAGTGTCTAAAAATCATCATTATGTTAAGCAAAATCAATTAAAAGCTCTTTGTGTCAAAAAAAAAAGAAAAAAACTTGTAGTAAACATTGTGTGCCTCGTGTAGAAGCAACCGCATATGTAGCGTATCCTTTTGTGTAAAATGTAACCCGCAAAACCGAATACCTTCGCAAAAAAATACAAACAAAAAAAAACTTTTGCTTAATCACAAACTGAAGCAACAGCATAACTCACTGGCTTAAAGTTATAGCCGCCGCAAAGACAATTTTACTCATTTCGGGGTAAGTTTTAATACAATTTCACTGCGTGTCTACTTAAACAACAAGGTTTTTAAACGCTATGTGTAATTTGCCCTATTCAATGGGCGACTGTATTAAGGACACGGCCCTTGGGCCTTAAACTTTGTATTCTGATAAAATCCATTTGGGAAATTTATGTCGCTTATGGTAAAAGTTTTAAATTGATTCATTTAATTATTGATGCTGAGTGCCACGGAATGTCAGACTCAATGATTTTTCAGTCTGTGCTTTTAAATTTAACAGACGTTGATGTAATTGATTTAAAAATGAAGCCGTGCGAAACTGAACTCAGCAAATTCTTTTGGAAATAAATAATTGTTGAATACAACATGTCACTCAACTACTCCAAAGACGCGATAAGTAATTGAAAGCATTAGTCTCAGAGATAGAACTGAGGTTTTGTTTACCAAATGATTTATCATGTCATGAATAACTATAGAAAACTAAATGCATCTCTCAAGATCATATAACATACATTAATTCAAGAACATTATTAATACGACTACTTGAATCTGTACACAAAAGAAAATGACTAGATGTGGGAAATAGGACACATATTCAGACAGCAACAAATAAATAAGAATTACTTTATAGACAGTGGAACGTTTGCACATACTTAAGTATTATCCTAATAAATTGAACACCGAACTCGAACATTGACCTTTTTTTGTGTCTGGTCTGTCAGAAGTCGACTTTACCGTTGGCTCATGCTCTAATGGATACAGCAGCACTTTGTGGCTAATTACAACGACACACAGACAGAGAAGCGACAGAGAAGCGACAGAGAAGCGACAGAGAAGCGACAGAGAAGGAATGTGTTTTTGGGGAACAGTTATAGAGGCAGCCTAGTTAGGAGACTAAGGATACGTTGTATGCGAGACAATGTGAAGGGCAGTGCTTTTGTGGAGATGCCAAGCAATTAGCTAAAGTGACATTTATACCGAGATAATTACCCAAAATTGTATGCATACACATACACACACACACACACACACATACACACAAATACACACGCATACACAAAAGAAGAGACAATATAAAAACGCGC